AAAATTTACTGCCACGTTAGTTAGCTCAATGTTAGGAGTAGAAGTTATGGTCTTCCCTCGATCTGCCGTTGCTGCCAACCAAAATAAGATGGTCGCCGTCCACAAAAGAATATGAGTACCTATTCGTTTGAACTTATTGCTTTCCCGTAAAATTTAAAAACGTTATTAAAATTTTAGAGAGAAACTTGTGAAATGATACAAATGAGGGGAGGAGACCCCTATTTATACAAGTATGCCTTGAATTGCAGCCGTAAATTGCCCATTCGATCTAATGGTGGAGGTTCCACCATTTGTGTACATCTACTATATTGCCCGCCCTTCGAGCTAATGGTGTAGGTTCCACCATTTATGTACATTTACTATATTACCCATCCTTAGAAATATCCTAAGGAATATTCTAGGTAAGATTCTAGAGTATACAAAAATAATCCAAAAATACCTAGAAGATTTAAGGGTCCCACTTCTTCTTGGATTATCAACGGTTTGCGAATCTCCTCTAAAAATAGCTGACTAACTAGGTAATGTCGAATCCTGTTCTACTTTGTTTTGATTGACATGGAGGCCGTGACTCGGTTTCTTCGATTCATGTACTTGTTGGGTTTCAATGTGCTGGTTTTGTTGATCTTAGATTGTAGATTGTAACCTTCTGGCAATTGGAGAAAAAAATTAATGGGCCACATAGGTAGATAGAACACATAGTAAGAACAGAAGAAAGGGACATGTATCCCATAAAAGAAACGACAAAACTATTTAACCAAAGACAATGTAAGAGTATGAAACATGATTTATAAGGTTGTGACTTCCTTGAAATTGAAACAAAAAAGAGAAAGATCAGGGAATATATATATATAAGATAGAATACCTGGTAAGAACAGAAGATAGGACATGTATCATATAATGGAAATGACAAAACAAGAAAGGACACCTATAACATAATGGAAATGGCAAAACTGCCTAAGAAGTAAGAAGTCTCCTCATTGAGAATGAGGATAAATAGAGTGAGTAGAAACTTGTTTGGAAGAATTATCACATAATATCATAAAAAACCCCAAACTGATACACGTATGAAAAATTTACGCAAAACTAATTTTTTGATCGACAAAAACCCAAAATTGGTACACTTATAACAAATTTATCCGAATTAAATTCTGTTGTTCTCTAACGAGAAGTAGTGCGAGTTTCTCCGATTGGAAAAATGTAATCTTGCAAAAGGAAAAAATTTGATATCTGTAGAGAGATTGTCTACGGGCTAAATTCACCGATTCTTTTGGACTTGCCCATGTGGCAGAACCAGGTGAAGTTTGACTCTGTCAGAAAATTCTAAAGCCCCTGGCTCGAGATTCTTCGCTTCGCATTTCTTCCCATCCACCGAGCTCAAAGCAGAAGAAATGGCTTCAATCTTTCTCCAGAAAATTGCTCTGTCCACACCAATCTTGGTCGCCGAATCGTATTGGTACCGGTCGAAGTGGAGCTATGGCGCCTTCTGCATTCCCGTCGGGGCGATTTTCGCCATCTCCGAAGGCTTTTTCCCGCTTCTCCTTCGCCTCCGTCTCGAACGTGGTACTTTGTTCCTCCTCCTGCTGAATCGTGCGCAGGGGTTTCATTTCATGTTGGTTAGTTGCGAAGATAATGTGTGTATCTGTGAGTTTTTTTTTTTTCGGTCCTACTCTATCTCTCACTCACGATACACACTCAGACTTGCACCCCACCTCTTGCAGGGCGTGGGCGTCGAAACCCACATCTTAAACTACGCGGCCCCACCCCTACCCCCCCTGCGAAGGTGGGGATTCGAACTCTCTACCTCCCCCTTCTCAAGTGAGAAGGGTGGCCACTGGGGTAAACCCCCAATGGTTGTGTATCTGTGAGTTTGCGATGTGGAAAATGGTTCTACTTTGAGGGATTAAGCGAAGGATTTGAGATGTTGCCCGCACGATGTATAGCTGCATCGATGTTTTGGCTTTGTATTTGGTTGCGATGAACTAGTTTGATTGCTGACAGTTGAGCAAATGGTGGCAACTGTGAACTTTTCAGCATATGGGATTTATGGGGTTAATTTTAAAAAAAAAGTATCAACTTGAGGTCGAGTAACAATTTTGACCCCAACTTTTTTTTGCCTAGTAAAAATTATAAATTTTCACTTAAATCCCAAATCTGGCCCTCCTTGACTTTGAACCATAGATTGTCCAACTTGTCTCTTCCACCTCAGTAATAAATCCACGTGGTTTGCTGATTGGATTTAAGCACCATTCATTATTTTTTTCTCTAAGCCACATCTTGAAGAATAACGGTAAAACTGTTCATCATCTCATTCACTTCACCAGCAACTCAAAAGATCTTCATATTAAATCTCTCCTTCCAGGGCCTGCTGTTTTGTCGTAATTGAAGCTGTAGACCATCGCATGTCAAGAGACGCCATAGATGATACCCTTAATCATTTTTGCACTTACAGAGACCTTTTCTCTAGTATATTTTAGCTCTTGATCCAGATAAATGGATTGAATTTAAATTGCAAGAAACGACGAGGGTTAGCCACATCGATCAGCTATTCGGGTACTTGCACTTTTGTCTTCTTTCTGTCTTTCGTTAGTTGAAGAGACCTGGATTATATTCTACCATTAGAATCGATCTACTTGCATGGGATATTTTTCTATTTAGGGAAGAGTGTCAGAAAAGTTACCACGTCAGGGCAGCCGGCCAAAATTGACCGAATTGACTGAATTGACACAAATACAAAAAGTTTAGGACTGAATTGGCACAATTGCAATCGGTTTAGGATTGTTTTGATAAATTTCCCCACAGAATAGGCAATACAACTGAAATAAAGAAAAGGCTATCTTGATCTAACAGAATTAATCAAGCACTCTAAAAAGTTTAGAAAGCCCGCACTAATATAAAAACAAAATGAGCACTCCATCTAATTTCATGAAGAATGCTTATTTGCTGCTTGTTATATTTTCTTGTAAATCAGTTTCAATAGGTCAAGTGCTGCCCCTATTCACAAAGACCGATAGACCCTTTGTTAGCAAATGGAGGTCCAACAGCTTCTTCTTTTTTTTGTTTTTTCTTTATGCCATTCTCAAGATTAGTATTCTTGCATTAATGAAATCAAACTTTTTATTAAAATCGACGGGCTAAAAAGAACCCTTTTTCGGTTGACCCTTCACATTTCCATTGCAAAAGTGTAGGGGATGTCGGGGAAGGATTGAGGCTTTTAAGGTTGTGTTTGTTTCGATGGACAAAAAATTTTGTAAATTTGTTTTTCGAACTTTTTTTTTTTTTTGATAACCCAGGAACCCCCCGCACGGCCGACAGCCGGAGAGGTAAACTTGGGGTGACGCTAGCGCAGGACCCACCACCACTGCGCCACACTTAAGAATCCCTAACGACTAGACTGGGGTTCGAACTCCGATCCCTTCGTGGGGGGACAAGAGCGCAAGCCAACGCAGCCGATGCGGGCGGTGGTTTGTTTTTCGAACTTTTACGTTTCTTATTTACTAAAAATGATCTGTCAACAAGAAACAATTTTTTATAAAAAAAATATGTATGTTTAAAGTTAAAAAAATTAATTTTCTAACCTGAAAAGGAAAAAACAATTTTCTAGAAAATGATTTCTCAAAAAACATTTTCCTTTATCGTGAAATTTTCTCCAAAACGAACACACTCTAAGGATTCATTTGATTTGCGAAAAATAGGACATTCCTAGAAAATATTTTCCAAAAAGTAATTTTACAGGAAAATGACGGTATTTTCCGGTGTTTGTTGAAACCTGAAAATAAACTGTAAATTATTTTTCGTCATTTGGAAAGGAAAACCTGATTATTTTTTCCTATATAGAAAGGCACTATCAGATGGACCTGAGCTTGGCCCCGGCCTCTAGACCCGAGATACCAAGGACTCCAAGATGAGCGTTGGAGTTCCCGTGTCTAACCATAAAGTCTCTGGTTCAAGCATCGATATTTAGTCATATATTCCGTTGACCCATTTTCATAAGCGATTCAAATGCCAGAAAAATGAGGAAAATGTTTCATTGAAAAAAGTTTTTCGCAAAATAAACGGAACTTAAGGTGCCATAAATTTTATATTACGATGTTAGGTAGTCTTTTTATGAATTATTCTACAACTCGTTCGGCGCACTAGGATGGACCCGTTATCAATATCATTCTCTAGACAAGAGCTCCCATTGTTACGAAACATCACATGCTCCTCGCACAAGGACGCTTGTTTTTTCCTCCATAAGCAGTACACAGACTTTTAAGAATTTTCATTGGTAATTCGATTTCTTAAAGTCGCTTGTCTATAGTTTTATTAAAGTTTTGTACGCAAGGTGCTCTGGGTGAATGACACGTGTTGTCTTTAATTCACTGGTTTCGTTCATAAACATATCCAACCTTCAATGTACGCTCGAGTCATTCGCGCAGTTCGCCGTTCCGCTCTTCAGAAAGTCATCCTTAAGATGTTGGTCATCCTTGTTCCTGGAGTTCCTCTGATCGAAGTTGCGAGGCACGAAAAGAGGATGGATGACAAACGACTTAGGACTCTCATGCGCGAAATCATTTCTGTCTCGATCTAAAGTATGTAAAGGGAGGTTCCACGATGCTAAAGTGATAGTCGAGATAGGGAGGAGAATGCTGGAACAGAAGAGCTACAGACAAGAAGAAGAACGACCAATGTTCAGTGTGTCGATCCGAAGCTAAGTAGTGCGAGCTTTTCCCTCACCGAACTCTCCATATCAATCATGCATAAGTAGAGCATTTCATAGACTGCATCTACAACAAAAACTGTTGTAGTGATGGTTAGTTCAAATTGGAAGGAGGGACAAGACGATGCATGACCGATGAGGATTTGGAATTCCGGACGATCCGCAAACTTCATAGCCTTGAGGACAGATATCAAGAGAGTCTAGACCAACATTATCTTGCCGATTAGCCTGCGCATTTTGGGGTGGAACCTACCTTGTCCACGAGCATCATAAGAGCACCCTCCAGAGTGGAGCCATCACCTTATCAATGGCAAATACCAATTTTCATAATGCATATGATTTCAAAGTTTTTGTGTGATAGAGCAATCCATCTTGCCGGTCATTCTTTACATCAGTACAAAATCGAACACGAGAACATAAAGCCACATGAAAAGGTAAGCAGCAGCTCGCATTGCCAAGTGCGCACTCAACTTTCTCTGCTGATGCATATTCCACAGTACCTGTTGTGCTCATTCCAACTGTAATATTCGTCAATGATCACGAGTAAAAGGATGTACGAATTTTTCTATAATCTCCTTTTCTTTGTTGTGGTGCTAGAGCTCTTTGAAGATCTCGACTGCAAATGGGTGAATCTAATGGAGCTCTTGATATTTATTTTACCATTTTCTGCTATTACTTTCAGGCACTCCATAGCTCTGCATACTTGACCTTGGAGACACTCTCAAGAACTTCAAAAGGGATTATATCTCCAATCACCACCACCATCTTGCTCTCCAGGTCTATTTTGTAAGAGATCACTCCTGTCATTTTTGCCAATTAAATTCTCAAAGTTAAAACCAAACTAATTCACGGTTCATCAAGAGGATTTTTCTCTCCTTTTTCAGGGGAAGCAAAATAAAGAAACTTCAATGTTAATGGATATTGGTAACTCAGTTGCACTTCTATTTTCATTTTGTTCATGTAGAGAGAGAGAGCCAGAGAGAGATTGAAGCTGTGAAATGAGGAAGAAATTAGGAAAAAGTAACAAGCATTATTACCATCCATCTTTGAGATATGCTTCTCCACTCTTCTTGCACACCCATGGCAATGCATGGCCACTCTCAAAGTCACCATCTACGAAATGTTTCGCACATAGAAAGTATTCAGAAACCCAGACTTGGAGTCTAAACTGAACCCTTCTTGCAAAACTAGAAGAGGAGATCAACTCATCGCCAAAAAGATTAAACAAATAAAAAGAAGCCCACAAATGAAAACTAGAAGAAAGATCTGACCTTGGGCTTCAGCTGAAACGCCAGAGTCTGATGAGTCCCGTCAATCAAGTCCTTGAGCCTCATCATCTGCTTGCTGTCGCTTGTGATCAGTGGCTTGCTCTCCATGTCCTGACCACGGCCTTCCAATGAATCATCCATGGCGTTCATGCAGAAACAGGAGCACGAACCAGCTGGTGATGAGAGGCTGAAACACTCCAAAATCTTGCCAAAACTCACCATCTTCCCCATTTAATCCAAAAAGGATCAACACCCAGAACACAAATCTCGGAAGCTCAATTGATGCTGTGTCTCAACTATCGAAAAGAACAGATCTGTGAAGACGACATTTTAAATTCGCATTAGGTAGTACTAAGGCAGAACGCACAAGAGTCGTATAGTGGAGCTAAAAGGTCAAACTTCGTTCTTGGGAAGGCCAAAAAACAAGCTGAACAAAAGTTGCAAAATCCAATGAACGTCTTGGGAAGTACCAAAAAGAAATAAGCTCGTTTACCTATGTAGATCAGCTGGGACAGAGGGAAGAAAAAATGTGTGAGAACAGCTCAGAAACCTAACTCAGAGGAAAAACATGGCACTGCACGCCACAAAATGCAGTCAGTGATTCAGTGTGGAGCTAGATTTTGTCACTGTCACGAACTACTCCAACCACTACTACCACAAAGCAGAGTTAAGAACTCAGAAACCACCCTTTTCTTTTCATAAACTCGACGAAGACGAAGCTCAATAAATGGAAGGAGGAATTTCTCATGTGCGAGCGCCTTTTCGAGCCTTGTCATATGGCATGACAAACTGTATGTGTTAATGGGACAAATCGAAAAGGCACCACGAAAGCGGCCAGCGAAAATGAACGATTTTTGCAAGAGCAAGAAAAAGGCAGCAGCATGAGAAATAAATAGCTGTCAATCATGGAGCATCATCATGCATTAGCATGCCTCTAACACAACCATCACCATCTCAGCGACTGATAAGCTCCGAGCTGATTAAGCCCGTAAATGTCCACTTATTAAAAAGATGTGCGAGGCAGTACTTTTATAATCGGATCCGACCCGCCGGTTCAAACGGGCACGCCTCGGTCCCAAAAAAAGGCCAATTGAGGATCAATCACTTCAAGAAAATGGTAGTGGAGGGAGGGTGTCTTGAGCGCATTAGAAGATAAAAGGAAGCTCCACCAAACATCCTATTTTATGAATCTCGCTTTGGACACATGTGATTTCGGGTTAGCATACACACGGTGTGTACCAAAAGCAGCTTCGCCACCGGTGTCTCAATCTTACATACGAATGGCCGGAACTAGATTATTCATCTGCGGACGCTGCAGAAGCCTAAAGAACTCTTGCCATTGCCCCCCACGAGAATTAAATTTTCTGGAGGGCTCACGGGGGATTTGCATTATTGGACCTCATGAGCTCACGGCACAGTTCCGAACAGTGGCATGATTGATGAATTATTGCGATTGTTTATCAAGCGAATTGGGGTGTCTACGTCGACGCCACTACAGTGTGGTGATAATAGTGAGTGGGAGGAGGGACAAGGACCAGCTTCGGAATCTAGTGCAGGAGAAGGGATCGCGCGGAGCACGTGCCGGGCGCGTGACTATGCTGTGGAGTGCAGTGAAGTCAAACGTGCTGCTTCGTTTTCGTTGGAGACATCTGCTTCATAAATGAAAGGGCCCGGATTTAATTTAAGGGGATTCATTAAAGCTGCGCATGACAACTGCCAAACAGGTGTTTGATTCTTCTTTTGTTAGAATCGGTTTGGAAAAATGCATTTGTTTAATTTTTTTATTAGGGCAATTTTGTCAAAAATTGTTCTCGAATCAGTTTGACGAGAATCGAGAATAAAAAAAGTAGCTTGATTAGAACAATTTTGAGAATCAATTTTTTTTCTTTCTTTTCTTGATTTTTAATTTAGCTTCTAATGTCCGGCCGAGGACCGCCTCGCCGGATCGAGAGAATAAAATATTTTAATAAAAATATTTTAAGCCATGGCCATAAAAAGAAAAAATATATTTTTAATAAAAATATTTTAATAAAAAAATTATTAATAAAAAAATATTTTACCTGCATGGCCGGTGACTGTGCCATGGCAAAAAAATAAAAATATATATTTTAATAAAAAAAATTATTAATAAAAAAAATATTTTACCGGCCATGGCCAGCGACCAGGCCATGGCCAAAAAAAAAGAAAAATGTATATTTTTAATAAAAATATTTTAATAAAAAAATATTTTACTGACCATGGCTGGCGACCAGTGCCATGGCAAAAAAAAATAAAAATATATAATTTTAATAAAAATATTATTAATAAAAAAATATTTTACCGCCATGGCGGCGACTGTGCCATGGCCCAAAAAATAAAAATGTATATTTTTAATAAAAATATTTTAATAAAAAATATTATTAATAAAAAAATATTTTATCGGCCATGGCCAGCAACTGAGCCATGGCAAAAAAAATAAAAATATATATTTTTAAAAAAAATATTTTACAGGTCATGGCCGGCGACCGTGCCATGGCCAAAAAAAAAGAAAAATACTTTTAATAAAAATATTATTAATAAAAAAATATTTTACAGGTCATGGTTATGCGAGGTTATGGCCAAGAAGGAGGAAAAGAAAAAAGAAAGAAATATTAAAATATTTAAAAATATTATTAATAAAAAGAAATTTTGTGGCGTTACCAAACGTTTACATACTTTTTCTATTCCAGGGATGGAATTTTGGGCCGTTAACAAACGCCTTAAAATGCTCGAATCAATTTAGGCACGAGAATCAAAAAGAATCATTTCGAGCAGAATCGCTCGAGCACGAATCGTTGTCATTCGCAGCTAAGTGGCCGTGAATTTTTAGAGTTGTGACTAATGATTTGTGGATATATATAATCATTCAAGGGGGCAAATTGTCCAAAAAATCCTAAAATTATTTTACGGCGGCCAATTCAGTCCTAAATATTTCGATTGTGACAATTTGATCCTAAATCTTTTGACGATTTGCCGATGTAGTCCTAAATCTTTTGACGATTTGCCGATATATTTTTTCCTGCCAATTATCCAAATAATAAGTTTCAGATTGAATTGATAAAATTTTTAAAAAGTTTAAGACTAGATTGACATATCGTCAAAAAGTTTATGACTGAATTGACACAATTGAAAAGTTTACGATTGAATTAGCTACTGTACAGTAAATATAGGACTTTTTGGACAATCATCCCTCGTTCAAGGACTATGGTTGGCGGCTTTTTGGGTTGAAAAGCTCAGTAAGAAGCTTGGGCTTTTGCATACTTTAGTGGGGAAAAAATGCTTAATTGAACATTTTACATGTGGAAAGAGGTGACTTTATAGTAAAAGATGGCTCTATTGGATTTGAGCCAGGTCCTAGCCCTCTCAAACGGTAAATGCATGCTAGTGTTCAAGCCCGCGCTATGTCGCATGCATAATTAACCTCTTTCGAAGGCGCGAAAGTTCGATTTGAAATGTCAAGAGCTATTCTCCTCGTTGTGTTTGTGAAAACGGTGGGATTTGAGGACCATTAGAGTAACCAACCGGATGCCACTACAAGCACATGTATATTAGGATTTTATCCTTACTTTTGGTTTGTTGGGTAAAAGGGTGGGGAGAGGCGATCAGCGTTGGCGACTCTCTTTTTTTTTTTTTTTTTTTTCTGGGCATTACCGTTGCTCTAAGGTCCCTCGTTTGCTACTCTACGCACTTGTTTTAGTAAGAGCATCTACCGGAAGGTACTTAGGTACGTTTCTAGTTCTATATTAGATGATACAGACTATAGATAGAGGCAATATTGGGAAAAGAAGAGTCTTAAAAAAAGCAATCAGAAAAAGCCTCTGAAGAGCGTTGTTAGGCAAATTTTCAAATATAGTGATGCGAGGTGAAATTGTCCAAAAGATGTGATCCGAAATAACCTCTTAAATTGGATTTTCTAATTTCTTTTTTCACGATTTTTATTTCATCTGTTAGGATGCACATGTAAATCGTATTAAAGGAATCCCACATCGAATAATTGGTGTGGTGCTAAACTGTTATTATGTTGGCCCATCACTCATTACTTAAGTTTTTAAGTGAAAGTGAGTTCAGCTGGATATGTTAATATAATCGGAATTAGGTTCACGCCCAACACCATCCAAAGCTAGTAAACATCGATGTATATGCATTTTTCATATCCAGCAATTGCGTTCATTTCATAAAGTAGAAGTCCTTAATAATTAACTTTTCACGAGACTTACATCACATTGTTGTTTTTTTTTAATAATTTCAATATAAAATACTGGACCTTGGCATTAATCTTTTTTCGGGAATATGCAGAAGCAGCTTCCATGGCTTGCGTCTGTGTGGAAGATGAACGAGAGCATCTGTATTGCGAATTATTATTAATATAGTGAGTAATCTTCGTAGTCCACAGCACAAAAAAGAAGAAGAAATAATCCAATTTGATTTATTTATCTATTTAAATTATAATAAAACTCCTCGTGAAAGGCATTAATCCGTGTTTCCAGTTGTCGGAAACTGGACAGCACCATGAAAGACAGCACCTTGAAAGACACACCATGTAGGGTTTAAGTTGGACATCGCGTGGTTCTTTGTAACGCAGGAAATAAAAAATAATATTATAACGCATTTGAATTGGTAATACCAAAGATGATGTCATTGAATGCTTAAAATGTTAGAAAAAGAAAATGTAAAATAAGTCCGATAACTCGGAATCAATTAATCGAACCGGTAAATGAAACCGTGATTTGATGTTCGAATGCTGTAAAGCTAGGTACCGAAGAAAGAACGTGTCACATGCGAGTGGAAAAAAGCAAAAAAGTTATAGTGAGAAGATCCGAATGCAGAATTAACATTCGGATTTGGTGTTTGAGAGATTTATTGGGATCGTACATTAATTATCTTGATTTATCACGAATATGGGCTTAGTTGCAATTTAGCCAAAAATTGAGATTAAAATCCAACTCTGAATTTTCGTTACGACATAGAGAGATAATTATTTGGTCGTTTACTTATATAATTTAGAGAGATCATTGCACACCCATTTCACCATTGAATGACAATTGATCGGCATACATGATACACGAGAGAACTCCACCACATGATGGTCAATTCATCTCCAAATTTGAAGAGACATCGACAACTTTGAAAACAAATTATCTCCGACACATCCCATTTAACAATAATGGGTCGTTCCATTGGTAAAACGATTGGGATCTTGCGCCTCAATAAGCACGAGGTCTTCTGCCAAAGGTTCTAGTTATGGGCTCTTTCGATTTCACAAAACTATTGAACTTCCATGTATGCTCCACTCCTTTCGAGTTCGATGCATCAATTTCTCTTGGTGTTCAAGCAGGATTCGATACCGGCATCTATCGTGTCTCGTGAGTGATCTAGTTTGAATGGCAATTGCTATTTGCTCCATCTTCTTCATCGATGAAAGGTCCATCTCCATTTTCAAGAGAACCTATGGAAAAGGTTGCTGGCACAATCAGGCCTCTTGGGCCTTTCAATCCGGTCAAAGGCAAGCTAGGAATCACTTCTGAGCTGGAAAAATCCTATTTAGCCCCAATGCAAAGTCTTTTTCTTCCTCCAATTCGCATCATCACGTTGCATTCACATCCCGCATATGATGAGATAGAAGTCATAAATCGGTACGCGAGCGAAAGACCTAACTTTCAAACCCGCCACACTTCGAGTGCTCCTTTCGAGAAATCAACCGACGTGAATTCAAGTTAAACAATCCAAAATCCATATAGTTTTGTCATATGAATAGCACGCAGCACCCACGCCATGCCGGTCGGACGGATCGTGGGCGGCCAGCATTTTGGGTCATGGCCTTCCGCCTTGTCGGGACCATACACATGATAGACCGACTCATCTCTCGGAAATCGAACCCTGGCGTTGTTAGTCCGGTTCAGTTTCGCCGGCGACAGAGTAGGCCAATGAATGAAGAAGGCACAACAATACCATCAATCACAGCACAAA